AAATTATTACTTTTTGGACTATATAAATCATTGAATTGATAATTATTGCATACGTTTTAAAAATAAACATTATCATGTTCGAAGTGAATGCATTAAAATAATATATTGAGCACATTCCGTATCAAGAAAGTAGGTAAATATTATATTATTATGTACTATTGTAGACATTCATAACATTTTATGAGTGAGGTTATGGGGTTTTGAGTTTATACATTATGAAAATATTATTACATATCTAAATATTGCAATTAATAAAGGTTATGTGTGCAATGAATTTGTGTTTGCGTAGTATTATGTACACAGGCACGTATACAAAATACATTTTCTGGTGACGGGGGACGGGGTTTACAAAATAGAGTAATACAAATTGTACCGCAACATAATAAAACAATTTCTTACTCTTTACTCATTATTTTTTAATGTGGCAATTTTTATGCTAAGTATCCAAATTGTATGTATGTAATTTGTTCGGAAGTAAGTTTATAAGAACAATTATAATAATCATAAATGAAACTTTAAATGTTATGAATAGAACAGACATTTATTTTATTAGTACCTATGCTCATAAAATTATCTATATATATTATACTATTAAGTACCCAGATAGAAGATAAAAATCAAACAATTTATATATAATACATTAAAAAAAATACAAATTAATGTATAAATTCCTATTTTTGTGGTAACTTAGCAAATCTATCGATAATTTTTACTACATTTAAATCAAAATTTCGGTATATGTTTAGTAGTGCCAATCCAGTAAGTTTAATTTCTCTCATATTGTTTCGTTAGTACGTTTTAAGTCTTCGTAGAGTTGAGAATGACCGTTTAGTAGTGGCAGTTGTAACAGGTAATGTAGCTAAAATGTACCTAACAGTATTGATTTAATAATATATAAATTAGCAATTTAATAGGAGTTTTTAGTCATCGATTGAGATATAAAATAAGATTATTAACAAAATGTGAGTTTTCTAGGTAAATAAAGGCTTATATCGCAATGTTCAGTTATCACTTCATTCCATTATATACTAGTATATAAACTTGTATTTCATACCTGCGACTAATATAAACAAAAGAAAATTCACCAATGGCTAATAATAAAAGTATTTTATAATAATAGGTGTTAAATTTGACTTTATTTTTAAAGAAATTATTTCAGGAGGGTTTGAACCGCCTCTGTATACGTGCTTGTATGTACATATGAAGTTATAACTTAAAACTATTGTTTGTAAGTCGTAACTGCACATATAAGTTGATGTACCTATGCCTTAGACATTTTGCATAAGACTGAAATGTGATAAATAAGTATAAAAATGTGTTGGTTAGTGTATGTTATCTCTAATAATTTTAGAAAACTTTGAATAATATGTCATATTTGTTTTTTCCGAAATCAAGTCGGTTCCACGATAATACATGAAATATTAATTAAATAACTATTAAAATATTTATATATATGCACATTTCATATCAGCATAGTAGGTAGATATTTTTTAGTAATATAAACATTTTTTATGTTACAAAATATTTATTTAAATTAAAATCCGTTCTCTAGTGATCATACATATTTCAGGGCAATACCATGAGCATTAGCTATATTTTCGGGGATAATTTTCCTACTATTTATCAGTCACTTCATTTAGGTACTCATGCCGAATGTTATGATAATCACGTGGAACACTTCAACAGGAACCACTGATATATTTTTGACTTAACAATTTTCATGTATTCGTAGTTAAAGTTTTCTACTATACTTTATACATCATTATTTACTATGTAAACCTATAAGTTATTATTTTTGTATTTTCGTTTATATTATTTATTATAACAATCAAGGTTTGTTTATATAATTTATTATTATAACAAAAGGTGAGCAAGTTGGTTCTATTATACAGTAGATATCTGTATAGGTCACTTAAAGGGACGTGTTCAATTTTAATTTAGTTTTATTGAATCACTGCTTACAAAATAATTCTAAGCGAAAACGGTTTGTCGACTGTCATCAGTGTAACTTGTATATTTTATTACTCAATGTATTCTATGATATTATTTATGTTTAATTATTTAATTTAAATACTATAGACATTAATATATATGTAATAAAGTTGGTTGAATTAGTTTTTGGCCAAAATATTGCACTTGAAAACGTCATTGTTTGTATAAAAATAGAATATTATACTATAAAATCTTGTGTACTCACAATAAAAAGCTAAAATTTCATTATTCCGTTATTTATTGTTATTTTGTTATTCTTTGTTCAAAAATATAATTTATCTAAATTTCTACTTAAAATATTAGACATAAAAAAAAAAAATCTAATGATATATATTTTTTTAAATTTTTTGATTACAACATGAACTATTTAGAAGAAAGGTTCTTTTAATTTTTAATCCTTAGCTATAAAAATTGAACTTTTAAAAGTATTTTTAAATACAAAATAATTTAGTACAAATTTTCGAGAAATTAATAAATTTTGTTAAAATTTAAACTTAAAATACTCATAAAAAATGAATGATACAAAAATATTTTAAATATATTTTAACTACTATTTTACAACTTATGAGTGTATTTAATTTTTAATTTTTTTAAAACAACAATTTTTTTTTTTAATCAAACAAAATTTTGATTTTACATATCTAATAATAGCTCAAAAACAATCAAAATAATTCTTAAAAATTTATCTTGTATGGAAAATGGTCTTGATTAAATTTAATGAAGTACCTATGATGAAAGTTCTTTTGTAATAAATGTTTTTGAAATAAGTATGACACTTAAATTGATTGACCATAAACACTTTGTCAAATATAATGATTCATTTATATAATTTTATTACTCAACGAAAATATTAGAACTTGTGATTGAATATTTCTAAGAATTTTTAAATTGATTATTGTTGATGTTTTCTAATTTTCTAGTACATAGTATAGTAATTTCTTCAAAACAATAAAATCTACAAATTATTACTTATAAAATACACTTTTTTTTATCAAATTTATTTATGTTAATGGTTTGTTTAATAGGTATTATTATTTTTTTTTGAGTTTATGGTTTATTTATTTTTGCGATTTTGGGTTTGTTTAGGTCATTTTTTGCGTCTATAGGATACAGCTCAAAAAAGTAGTTTGTCAAAATTGTCACCTCCCATAATAGTTATATGATTATTTGTGTACAAAATCGCTAACGCCTTGTTATTTAAATATTTTTTATCGATTGGAGCAGAACAGCTATATCAATGAATAATCACTGTTAAGCCTAAAGGATTATTCTATACCTATGCAACACACTTACCCGTTTATTAAAACTAAGTGGCTGTTGATATTTATATCTAATTCTTTTTAGTTAAAGAATAGTTGGTTAGCTATTCCTATTACACGAACCGGTCTTAAGGACCGGGTTGTTGAATTGATACAAATAAAGTTTTCTAAGTTATATTTTACAGGTACTAGAAACTTATGACCTGCGCTCATAAACTAACACAATAGAAACGATATTATAGCAAAGTATTACAATGTTTATTCATAAGACTAATATCAATGTAATTATACAATACACTATCACCTGAGTAACCCTGTTCTTGAGGGAAGTATTTTAAAGATTACAGGTGTTGTACGAGTTGAAGTGATTGAATAAATTATGATTTATCTATAAAGTAGGTTATTATACCTATAGTAAATCAAATTAAAAATGTTACTTAAATATATAAAGACTGCTGTTGTCTCTATTTCACGAACCAAACTCGACTGACTAGCTATATCAAAAATTATTTGTATATACTCGTACTCTACGTTTCCTGTGTTCTTCTGACCTAAGCAAAATCACAGAGTGCGGTATAAATGACGTGTTAGTAACATGTATATCGTTACACCTATTAGTAACAATATTGTTTGTAACAGTATTTGTTTTTTGTGTTGAACTAAATTTTTAATTACATATTAAACGACAACTTAATTACCAATCAACATTGTTCTCATTTATTTTCAGGGTTAAATATCCCTTGAAAGTTTACACACCTATATCAATACATACATACATACGATTCCCACACACTGCACCACTGGCACAATTTAATCGGCAACTCCGTTTATTTTCTGCTGAATACCGTATATAATAAGACACACATAAAATACGCTTAGATCGGTCAGAGTATCAAGTATGGTCGATGATTGAAAAATTGTTTTTTCGACAGGTGTGCATAATAATATTTTATGTAATAGCCTCGTTAAAAATACATACTCTTGATTCGCGATATTATTTTCTTTTTGATTTTAAAGTTCCCACCGATGTCCATAAAAATATCAAAGTTATACAAATGTGTTCAATTTTTTTCTCATAGACATTTAAAGTTTAATTTTTCACAAATTAAATATTTATCATTAACGAAAAATAACATTTTTTTTATTTTACTATATAATTAAAAAAATACTAACTGTGAGAACTATTTTTATGTATTTGACAATTGTAAATATTTCAGTAACAAAATATATTAATATATATAAGCTATCTCTATTTATTAGATATCTATATCAATACATTGAAAACTATGTTTCCATATTTATTTCATAAAGTGAAAGTACTCTATTCTATCATAAATTTCAGTGTATATTATGTAATAAAATATTTTAATAACTACAAGAAAAATAACTATTATACACAATATTCACTTTATTTTGTGGTATATAATTTTCCCAAGTAGTTTTCTGTGTCATTGTTAAATTTTAATATTATTGGGTGATCTTTCATCTGTATCAATGTGATTATTCCACTAACCATTAATACAATCATCTAAAAATAAACAAAAACAATTGAAAATAAGCATATATACTGTAACAGAACGAAAAAAAAAACGTAAATAGAGTACAAAATAGGATTTTAAGTTCTATTTATATAAAAATCGTCGACCTTACTACTTTCGTACTAAGTATATCTACCTAATATTTAAATTTTAAATACATTTCGTCAAAATACATGTATAATATATGGAAAAAATGAAAAAAATTTTAAAATGGGTAAGAACTAAGAAGTAATTGATTAAATACAAAATGTAAATTTAAAAAAAAAAAAATAAATTAAAAAAAAAAAACGAAATATGTAGGTAGTTCCAATGTTATATTGATTTAAATAAACCAAGTAGATACGTACGGATATAATGAGATTTAAATTGATATTGAAAAATCCACTTGCCGAAATTTGGTCCGAATCGCAAGCTGATATTTGATTCATAAACATTTTTATCTGAAAAATAAAACATTAACTATAATTTACGGAATGAAATAACCATAACGTTCGTAGTTTTCTATTGTAAAAATAGAAACTATTAATATAAAAAGTAAATATATTTTACTTGTCGTTTTATGTCCAAGTGTAAATTTGAAATTCGATATGACCTTAGACATGATATAATCTCCAATCTCTGTAAAAATAATTTATAAATTATCTCTTTTTTATTAGATCTAATTGGTTCGTTGTTGGGTTAAAAATAAGCGTTCTTAGCACTTAAAATAAAAGAGAGAAACGAAAAAAAGAAAAAACCTGATAATTGAATTTCCCACTCATTGTTTATGTTAGAATTTTCTATGATATGTAGTATAATTTAAAATATATTTTGACTCTTCCGAGTCACTTATAGACACACATTTTTTTTTTTATAAAATATAAATTATTTATACATACAGTTTTCGTTCAGATAAAGCTTGCATTTTAATATAAGATATCAAATACGATTTTATCATAGTTATTACAAATAATAAAGATACATAGACTGGATTTCTTTTTAAAAGCATTTTAAATTCAAGAATTGAATTTGAATTCCTCAAAATCACTAAAAAGTATATATTATTTTGAAACTTGGAGAAGAAAATTTAATTCGAGATTTTTCAATTATAGTTCTACTGAAAATAAAAGAATTTTGATATGTATATACAACATTTTTTGTTTTAAATTTTGACGAAATTAAATATTTAAACGATGAAAACGGGTTTTAATTATTCTTTTGTGTTGAAAAAACATCTACTAATAGGTATTATCATATTAGATGTAAATGCCAAATATATTAAAAACGATGGTAAAATTAATTTATATTAACTATACGGAAGAAAAAATTAAAAAATTGCAAACAAAAAAAACTAAAATCGTTAAGACTTTTTTCAAAACTATAACACAAAATTTTACCAGTTAATTAATTATTAATTTTGAATTGTTCTTTATGAGTACTCTTACGTTCCAACTCGTCAATTCATGCATCAACGCAAGAATGAAAACGTGATGTATAAAGTATAATATAGTATTTATTTTACATTTTCTTAAAATACAATATTAAAATATTAAGCTATAGGTGGTGAATAGTGTTACGACTTGACTCAGAACGTCTCAAATATCCATAACTGAGGTCACTGACCATGACCCTGGCACCACCAAGTAAAAATTTTTTTGTAAAAATAGTTTCAAAAATTAGTAACCAATTCGTAATAATTCGTAACCACAAATTTGGAATTTGTAACTCAAGTATAACTGCCCAAATTCAATTTTCTGTTTGACGGAGGGTCAGTTGACCCCAACACCCGAAACTTGGGAAAACGTCGTACACTGTCCAAAACGGTACAAGCGATAAGTAATGAATTGGTTACTAATTTTTGAAACTATTTTTACAAAAAATTTTTTACTTGGTGGTCAGTGACCCCCATAACTGCCTGCCGATCTCTTTCGAATAGCGATTGTCATGCCGGTGATGACTTTATTGTATAGGCGGATTTTGGAGACTCGTAATCTAATTTAATATTCAGGTTAACTCTCGTATCTTTATCCCTGGACAATGTGTTTCGATTTTTTCGAGAAGAGATGTGTAACAATACTGAACTGAAACGTCTGAAACAGTTTAATTATAACACCACAATGCTCATTATGCTCTTGACTCTAATCTCTACATGTTTGTGTTTTTAATTAACTCATTATTGCCATATCGTGTGAATTATAATAAGAATGTGTTGCAACAGTATTCAATTATATATATAATCATGATGATTATGTACCTAAATATAAATAAATAAACAGTAAAAACAAGTAATTCGATAAAATAATGCTTTCGATTATGAAAAAATTCTTCTCCTAAGCATTTTAAAACAAAAATGTTATTGATTTTTATTTGAAACAAAACAATTTGGCATTACCATGGGATATATTAAGTTAAATACTTTAAAAAAATCTTTGAATATTTTTAATTTCAATTTTATAACCAAAATTAATCTAGATTTAAGTATTTTAAACTGTGATTATTAAACATGATTACAAAATAAAAATAATTAAAGGTATATTTAACGAAAGTAATTTACTATGATGGTGAGTTGGGTGACTTTAGTTACCTGCTCATTTAAGAATGAAACAAAAACAATAATAGACATCAAAAACGTGAGAATTTGTATGTGAATCATCAATGGCATTATATTTTCCCAGCTATTTTTGGTTAAATGTATGCTGGCTAATGCTTCACTGTTGATAATAAAATAAAAACTGAGAAGCATATTGATAAAGTCGAATGTGAAGAAACTCAAAAGCAACGGACCGTAACCTAGAGTAAACATTTTTAACAATTCGCAGAGTTCAGAGTGTAACAGTCGCGTATTTTCCATGACATCCACTATTTCGTCGTGTGTCCATTTATCGAAAACGACAACTAAGTCAGCAGGAAGACATTTCCAAATATCGTTTAACGTCTGGAATCTGACATACAGGTTTTGAAGAAAGAAACATGCAGAGATCGTAACTACAAAATCGATTAAAAATGGGGGACTAAATAATATTTGGACAACTATAAATGATGCGATATATTGTACATTTTTAGGAAAAATATAGATTTGTACGGTTTTAAATACGACAAAGTACGCAAATAACGTAATAAAAATCAAATTCCATTTTTTTTTTGTCCATGAACGTTGTGTGATCGACAAATTTGTTAAAAGTGGTGTAATTTTTCGATCAAACTCAATAACGCCATTAATAAATCTGAAAAAAAAAATCATAAAAACAAATTAGGTAATTAATAATAATTTTACAGTTTAATCTGAATACACCATTTTAAAACAATGATTTTGCATAGTTTTTTATTAAGATTGTACAAATATGTAATTTCAACTTCTGATGCCGTAGCTGGTTACTCTTATTAAGTTTTATTTAAGTTTTAACCAGGAAATATTTAATATTATCAATTAATTATACACTATACGGCGTCCAAGAACTTACCAATTTCATCGTGTACTTATTACAATGCATAATTTAAATCATGAAATTGTAGTGATATTTATAGTAAATAATAACGTGTTCCATGTAAAAGTCGGGCTTCTATTATTATTATTATTATTATTATTGTTATTAATATGTATATTATTTTATTTTGTTTCGGTTTTACAAGCTGAGGCAACGTATCAATAACATTGTGTCCAACACTCTACCGCTTTGAGTCTTTTATAGTTTTATAATATATAGTATAATTAATATACTTATACCGTAATTTTTCATACATAGTTGTATAATATTGTTCTACATCAAATCTTAACTACAGTGTTTAATATACCTACACATATTATGAGCCCGCCTTTATTTAATCAACAAATTGCATTTACGTTACCTATTTTGTCGATACGAAAAAAAAGACTTAAATATGTATGAGACATGTAATAATTGTTTGACAATATTTTTGACGTATGGTCAGAAATTTAAATGCTGGGTTAACGTTATCACTAAGTTCCTTAATGAATCATATTAAATAAAATGAATTGTTTTTTATATAATACGTATAATTTATATGTTTATTCGCGAGGTCTGCACAAAAACATATTGTTTACCATTTATTAATAGTTAGATTAATTTCTCAATTATCACACTAATCAGATAAAATATTTGATTTGTGTTGTAGAATAAAACATTATTTTATTAAAGAAGTACAAGTAAAGGCTTTTAAATTGTTTGTGAAAAACGAGATGTAATATTTTTTAATAACTTTGGGAGATTTTCATTTGTATAGAAAAACAATGAGATAAAATAAGATTAATGACTATTTATAATAAATAGAAACTACGAAGTTTTTTAAAGTGGCATTTATTAGTAAGATAAGAACTAAGCTAAGATAAAAATCAAATTTGATAAACTGCAGAAGAATTAGATATGTTTATAGAAATAATTAGGAAATTCCATCAAGTTTTTTAGTGTCAGTAGTGTAGTACATGATAGGTATCTAACGTTAACATGTGTAAATAATTATTCAACTAAATAAATTGTATTCATTTTTTTGTTTTAAACTTTTCTGTGTTTTTATTGTAAGTAATTATTAATAAAAACACTCAATACCAATAAAGTTGGATTTTTATCACTGCATGCGAGTTCACATACTTTGTAGAATTAAACGAAACTTAATTTATTTTAATTAATATACTTATTATTAAGCTTGATATTAATCCTGATATAGTTGTGTAAAAGATTAAATAATTTAATGATGTTATTCGCAAAATTCTCAAAAGTCGAAAAGTTTCGTTTGAATATTAGTTGATTTCGAATTAGTATCAGCAAGTAAAATCTTTTACTTTAATATACAAGTATTTTATTATTGATTTTTTTCTAGAACCACTTCAAACTAAATTTTAAATTTGTTACTATTTTTTACGGTCTGAAGAAATATTATAGTTTACAGTTTACCTAAATCTATATAACATTCTCAATAAAAAATAGAACTTATTAATATAAATAATGAATACAATTAAAGCTAATTTTTAATTCAACTACAATGGATATTTTGATTAAGTTAGAATTACTTTCAACTTAATTATTTACAAATTTTAATAAATTCAATATGTAGTGAGTTACATAGAACTAAATTACTGTTAAAGTTGATTTTTTTTTTATTTTAAGTCGAAATATATAATTTATATCAGATAAGTATAATATATGATAAGAGACAAATGAGTACCTAAACAAAAAATTAAACATTGAATAAAGAAACCACTCAATTATGACACTTTAATAAGGTTAATATAAAACAAATAAATTTTAATTGAGTAATTTTTATTTTATAAAACTTAAAAATTCGAAACCTGTTTAAAAATTTTAGTTGAATACGTTGCTTTGTATTTTTAAACTTCAAAAAACTAATATCATGATGTTCGCCTTGTAGAAATACGTTAGTATATGCTATAATGGTTTATACTTATAGTTAGGTAACAATATTTAGATTTTCCGTTTGGTGTACTCTCAGAAACGTATATTTAAGTTTTACTTGAAAAAAAATCATAATTTCATCAACAATCAAATAAATAAATATTAACTCCTTGAGTAATTCACGTTCAGTTAAAATAAATAGTTAATAAATACATACTTAATTAACTGTATTGTTGATTGTCGGGCCGTGATAATAATAATCCAAAATTTAATAATATTTATTGATTGAACTATATAAATTTCTGGATTTGACCGAAAAAAATATATATAAGTGGAGATAATCAATACAATCATTCGTATTATTTCTAGATATGCATACAACGTTGAGTTCATATTATTCCGAACTAATAACCCAGCCGGTTCCATAGTATATGAAGTATCAATTAAACCTATACACTTGGAAAAAATTAAAATAGTTCTTAAGGTAAAATGAAAAACAGTCGTCATTTCGATAGAGTTTAATATCAAAACTGAAATTATAATACAAATAATAACAGTTCTTTTATGTTAGACATTGTTAGTAGTAATACAATTATGATGTCACTCGTATTCAACGACTGTAAAAACCAATAACAAATATCATTGCTTATTTATGTAATATTTACTCAATTAAAAATATTAATCATTGAATTGAAAGTTATTACAAACGGTCTTAATGAAAAAAAATTGCATATTCAATACCAACAAGATAAGTAAATAATATATGTAACTATAGACTTTTTATATTTCATAGCATTTCATGAATGAAATCATAAATAGAATTTTAAGTAAATACATAATGAAAATATTGTAATTAATAAAGGATATTATGTATAGAGTACACACTTATTCAGTTATAGTTTATGCCTATTATTTGTAACTATACGAATAAGTGGAAGTATACTTTTAACATTTTGCATAAGACTGATAAATAAGTATAAAAATATGTTTGTATAAAAAGTTCGTTCTAGAAAAAACAGCAAATGATAAGTTTTATTTGATTTTCCGGACTAAAGTCGGTTCCATGACATACGAAATATGAATTAAATCACTTGTTAATTATTATTTATTTTGTTTAATTTACTAGTAAATAAATAATAATATAACAGCGCTAATTTATAAGATGTATAGAATTTCAACTTTCATTATCTAGTTTTTAGGCACTCGTACTATGTATTAAAAAATATTGATCATGCTCAACATCATAGTTTTATCAAAATTAAATATTTTATTTCTCATTTTTTTTTAAAGACTACTATTATGTTAAAGTAATTAAAGATATCCAAAAGATGTTATTGTGGTGTAACTAATTTAATTTAAATATATATACCTATATTTAAGTATTAATTTGACAAATTAAAAAAATGTAAATTGAAAAAATATAAAATACAAATAAATATAATAATAAATCAAATTGAAAATATAATTTAATGTTAATCCATTGCAATATTTAAAGTATTTCTCTCTCCTTCGTATGAAATAATGAGTAATACAGTATAACATTTTCAATTATATTTCGTTGTTACATTTTGAAATTATGATGTAATATATCAATATTTTAATAACTGCGAGTAAAATAAACTAATTCATAATAATTAATATTTATGTTTTTTTTCTTTTGTGATTCATAACTTTGCCAAAAAGGATTTAGTGTCATTGTTAAATTTCAATATCATTGGATGATCTTTCATCTGTATTAATGTGATTATTCCACTAATCAATAATACAAGTACCTGTAAATAAACAAAAATATTAGAAACTAATAGATACCAAAAACGATTTAATCACTGGATTAAACACAAAATGATTAATCAAAAAGAAAGTAAAATATACAATTATAATATAATTGGTAAACAATTACTTACTATTGTGACGAGATTTAAATTGATATCGAAAAATCCAAATGCCGAAATTTGGTCTGAATTATAATCTGATATTTGATTCATAAACATTTTGATCTAAATAATGAAATATTATTAATTATGAAAAAAAATAAGTGTGTATCTTTCATCGTAGTTTTCTATAGCAGTGGTTTCCTATTGGAGGTCCGTGGACTCCTAGAGGTACGCGTATTAATGTAAGGAGGCCTGCGGTTGTGTAGTGATTGATCACTGGGCTGTGGGTGAGTTGCGGCCCGACTTGTCGTTTCCGGTGTTGATGATCGGTGAATTGCGGCCCGGTAATATTTTAGGTATAGGTTAGTTGCGGCCCGACAATATCTTAGCTACACATGAGTTTCAGCCGAGTAATTATCATTACCTAAGTTATATATACATAACTATAAATAAAAGATTCGCTATGTATATGGAAAGTTATATTTTTATATAATATAAATCAATGATTCCCAACCTTTTTTGTTACTACAGACCACTTTGAGAACTTTCGATACGTCACGGACCACCTCAATGAGAATCAATTTTTTTCACACATTTTAAAATTTAGATTATAAATAAATAAAAACAATGAAATTCCTTACAACAGTATTTAATGTTTATAATTGATAATGTTTTACTAAAACTTAAAATAATTAACAATTTAACGTAAATTAATATTCTAAAAAAATGTACATTATAATATTATATTTATTTAAGATTGTATTATCATTATATTATATTATTAATAAAATTTTTAATCTAAATTAATATATTAGTGGTATACATTTATACTTAAACTAAACTTAAAAATTTGTTATCTTTTATTAGATTTGATAAAACAACTAAAATAACTACGACAACACACGCATGTCGGCACAGTGACTTGTTAGTATACTAGCATATTATTATATTATATTATATTAATTATAATATTTGACATGATATTTATGTTGAGATCTTACAATTATACACCCACCTGGACTTGGCTATTAACCCATCTAATTCAGACATAAAGCAATTACTTCAAATAATCTTACATCCCACTGCCACGTATATATTACATATATTATTGTATGGCCGCAACTCGTACCTACGTTATTTTGGGACTGGGCCACAACTCATTAACACCGGATCACTTACACGAGACGTCACGTACAGGTAACGAAAGGTAAGTACGTTTTTAAATTAAAAATTTCCCGCGTCCCAGAAAACCCTCGATAAGGTTCTCTCTTAGGTATCACTGTTTATCTTAATTTAGTTTTAACGAATTACTTTAATTGCGCGTTCGAGAATGTTTGAGAAAACTACCATTATATCCGAATATTCTCGAACACTTATGTATCACTTAATATTTGATTGCGGTCATAATTATAAAAAACAAGTATTTAACAATAAACAGTAGTTATAGTAACAGAGAAAGTAATGAAAATTATAAACTTTATTAAATTACGGCCTCTAAAATCTAGACTTTTTAAAATCTTCCCCCAAAACACTGAAAATAACTAAATTTGGACAAAATATGTTGAAAATAACTCTTTTTGTAATTTTTCAACATTAAAAGTTATTTTGGAATATTCTTGTGAATGTCTATCACAATAGGTCAATAACGAAATATCTGAACAATTCTTGAACATGACCACAAGATTAAGAAAATATTTTCACCAATCTGACTCAAACAATACGTGGGTAAGAAATTAATTTTCCTATGATATCAAAAAATATAAAATTTCTCTAAACATGAGCAAGATGAATTAATTAATCTGGTAAATAGCGGATGATTGAAAATATTTTCAACGAAAAAAACTAATTAGTTTTTAATTTACTGTTCAAAATTATCAAAAGCAACTGGCCAAGAAAGCTTAAAAAAATATTTGATCCACTTTTACGCTATATGTTTAGATGTTAAAAAGCTTTTTCTATCTACTGTTACATGAAAAACAAATGTTTTAATATATTAAATAGGCACTGGGGCTGATTTAAAAATAAAAATATTGAGCGCGTAGCCAAATTTGGATAGGATTATGAACAAAAAAAAAATTTCACTCATTTTATAAATTTCGAAAATTAATGCAATAACTATTTTAAGTAACTTATAATTAAATTTTAAAAGGTAATTGCTATAATTTTTTACATAAAGTGAAGTATTAAATAAAATTAATCTCTTTAAATTGTATTTTTAGGAAAACCATGTAATCTTATATGTTATATTTATTACAAAAAGATACATATGTAAAATTAAAATAAATAAAAAAAAATTTTTTTTTCATGTTCAAATTTAAACAAAATTAAAAAGTAAGTATTTATAAAAAGAAGATTCCCGGACCAATTTAAACTTTAGCTAGAATTCAGTAGCTTCGAACTAATTGGGAATCACTATTTCTATAGAAAGAATTAAAAACTGTAATAATATAAAAAAATTAAAATTAGTTATTATACTTGTCGTTTTATATCCAAGTGTAAATTTGAAGTTCGGTACAATCGTAAGTATGATATAATCTTCATTCTCTGAAATAGTTTAAAAATATATGTTTTTTTTAAATACGTTTGTCCGTATTTAGTTTTGAAACATGAAACATTTAGCTTTACGTTTGTATAAATATTAAAACTGGATTGAAATTTCGTTTATTTCGTTCCATAGTTTTTTTTTGCATGCTCACCCTTATATTATCCTTAAGTTAAGTATTTATACAAATTTATATGTATATGTATAAAATAGTGATGCAACTAAAAATAATTTGGGTATCTAGACTCCACTCCCCTTCAAGGCTTAAACTGTATTTATAAAAATTGCATTTAATTTTAATTCTAAAAATTTAAAAACTCTTCATCTCGGAAGAACCCCCCCCCCCCCCCATCAAAAAATTCTAGTTATGCCATGTATAATTAAATGAGAATATTAAATTCCTACAGTCTAAAAATAGTTTTATCATTTATGATTATTAATTTTTTCATTATAGGATTACAGAGAGCAACTTAAACCTATATAAAAAACAGGCAGATAAATTACGTCTTCCAAAAAAAGATTAGTACTGGTCATATAAAAAAATAAAAATAAAATAAAAAACAAGTGATATACAGTAGAACCTCGATTATCCGAACATAAGTTGTTGAATAAACTCTCTATTCTTCGAATTGTGATTGGTGTATCTGAACATTAAAATTATTGACTGGTTTATGAATTTTATCATTATCTTAATTTATTATTAACGCACTACATAAATACATAAATGTGTATGAATATTTTGTAGATAATCTAGACGTGATGAGTTTATCTAAACAACCTTTTCATGCTCTACTCGTCAGTTCAGTTTCAAGTTTGATTTTATACATATTACGAGTGTCGAGAATCTATAATGTATATTAAATGTAATGTTCTCACGATAAAAAAAAAAAAAATGGAAATTCTTACAATTATTGAAAAATAAAAATGGATAATTTGTCAAAAAAATAACATAAGTATAAGTTCTTATGGATTTCTAAGTTATGTAGTTCAAATATAATAATAAAACTTGTATGTTTTTCTTTTCATGTTATGTATGTTTATTGTAATATTAAATATACGAGAATATATTAAGATTGTACACATGTATATTA